GTTTCTTATGTATTTACACACTCATGCTGTCGAACTGTTGAACAAACGCAATATCACACTCGTAGACGTGATATATGGCTGTATATCACAGCCGTGCCGATATACAGTCATATCTCACGTCTACGAGTGTGATAATGCTCATTTAGCATATGTCATTAAATATATCATTAGAGCCTGACCGATATGTTTTTTTTTTTTTAGGGCCGATGCCGATAGTTAAAAGAAAGGGCCAATATCGATATATCGGCCTATATTCTTTGTGTATATTATAGTACAATACCAGTCAAAAGTTTGGTCACTTTTCCATTCGTATATAGTATTCATATATTTCCCATATAGAATGCAGTATACATACAGTATATAAACAGAATATATATATATATATATATATATATATATATATACATACATACATAAACACATTTTTTGCAATGATCACTCAAATGTGGTGATGAAACACTTATAATGACGTGACAAATATAAGTAATGGAGGCAGGGTATTTAACCATTTAACAATACACTTTATTATCCAAAATGAGTCTGACATCAGTGCACTGAACAGTAAAGTTGAAGTTTATTCAACTTTATTCCAATTCAATTCCATTCAACTGTATTCCGTTGAAGCTTATTTCACTTCAGAACATTCATTAACGGATTTGTGCTATGCCACTGTCTTCACACACAGACAAAACTTACTAGAGAAGTGTGACATTATATACCTTCACATACACGTCTTGCACACTTTAATGCCCTTTGAATGTATCACAGGATACTCATGGCAGAGTATCCTGTGAAGTCCATTTCGCAGGGCACTTACGGTCGTATAGAACAAACCTCTGAAGTGGTAAGAGAAATATACAAAATGTGCAGAGCGGGGGATCGCGAGGAACAGGATTAAGAACCACTGCTTAGCATTGCGTCTCACCAACGTAGCGCTAAATCACCATTCAACAGACTCAAACCACCACCGCACAAACTAGTTATTGGCTTACACTTAAGACACCGCTTGAATGCTGCTGCCTGAACAAGAGACCTCCTTACTGAAGTGAAAGGGGTGGCTGGTGTCACTATCTAACGAACATGGTGGCAGATCTCCACCAAATTCGGGGGATCCCTTCAGCTCGAGGAGCACCCTCGAACACCGCCCTCCACACGTCGGTAGCCCCCCGGGATTTCCAGATCGGTCAGCGCCCAACCATAACTTTGACCGCCCGTAGCCCCGGGGGCTATCGACGCAGGGGTGGTCTCATTCGATAGGGGGCCTCGAGAGGTACACTCGATTCAGCGTTCGAGAGGGCTACTCAAGCTGAAGGGATCCCCCGAATTTGGTGCGGATCAGCCACGCCGTTACGTAGATATGGCCGTTCAAATTTTCAATGGTATTCCATACACTTAAGCTTTTAAGCATTTCATCCAGATTGGCAGTAGCAAACAATGGAGCGCGCTCTGCTGGACAAATGTAATTACACCATTTACAAGCATTTTATCTGCATTTTATGTTCTGTAAAAAAATTTAATATTGGTGGCATATCGGCGGCATAAACGCTGATACGATATATCTGCAACAGGCTCATATCGGCCAATAAAATCGGCAAAACGATATATCGGTTGGGCTCTATATATCATAACTCCAGTTTTTCCGCTGTTGCTCTGGCTGAAATGATAACACTATATTGGGACTGGAGAGGATGCACAAAGCTTCCCAGACTGTGTAATTATAAATTATTGTGAAAATTATATAAATTATCTCTTTTTTTTCTTACAAGTGTAGGGAAGATGTAATGTGTTCTCCCAGCCTTTGGGGGGAGCTGTGCGTTGTGTTCTCATTAGAGAAATGAGCCCTTCTTTTCACTCACAGTTCTATTTCCTTTGTGAAAGGTAAGGAGGGTTTATCAGTTTGCTCCACTACATCCATTAAATTGATCTAATTATATTAGCCATCCATGCTATTAGAAGAAATATATTGTTGATGACAGGTTGGATAATGTGTATCAGACATTATTTTTGATAGATTTTGTATTTCTGATATTATTGCACGTTTCCTATGTTCCATGTGGCTGAGCATAATTTTCATGTATATTATGTTATGTTTAAGGTCTATTTGTGTATTTTATGGTCTAATTCTCCTTAATTTGATTACATCCAGTGTTTATATTTGTCTGTCATATGCTGTAGTTTATCTTTCCTATGGTTTAGTAAGTTTGTGAACGATGAGCTTACTATTAAGTTAGCTGCAGTCTCAACTTCATTATTTCTTTTTATAATGCGTAATGTATTGTAATTTTGAGGTTATTTGAAATGAACACAGTTCTATTTCCTTTGTGAAAGGCTGTTACCATCCTGTCATGCTGTGAGAGTGACTGTGTGGAGAAAGGAGCCTAATAAAAGAAAGCTGCTCTGTTTGACTCAACGATTTTTGTGTCCTCTTCATTTACCCCTCACCTCAACACAACGCAGAGATTTGGGGGAGCACACCGATGAAGAGGGTTACACAAGGAAATAGGATGTAAACATATGATAATTTTCTGTATAATGTGCATGCTTTCAGATTAACATTGATAATATTTCACAGGACAGCAAAACAACACTGGGGCTTGTTGTTTTGTGCTGTCCTGTGAAATAAACAGAAACAGATGTGACTGTACGAAGTACGGATATCTTCTTTTTTTATTGTGAAATAATGGTAAATCCCACTTTATTACTGCATGATTAATGTGCAGTCCTGACACAAATTAATTATTATTAATGTACCACTGTTTATTGTAAAACTGTGGTAAAAAAAATTGATGCTTGGATTTTAAATATTTAAGTAAAAAACAGGAAATGCAAACAAACAACAGCTTATCATGTTCATTTTACAATCTTGTTATTTTCCAGTCTGATAAACTGCTCTTAGTTGGTGAAATGACAGGGTTGGGTTTCAGGGAGGCATATGTAGAATATCAGACCGAATCAGACAATCTAAGATTTGGTCAAAACATGGTTGAAACATGAGGAGCCCTGAATTCCACAAGAGGCCCAAGACAACAGGATCTCATAAATCAGACCCTAGCCAGTCTGAAGCAAGCCTAACCAACTCTTTCACAGAACAGCTTTCAACATTAAAACAAAAGAACACTTATTGACAATTCCAAGGAGATTGTCAATTTTGGGGGCAAGTTATCAAGAATAATGGTCAAAAAAGATGCACAGCGTGACCATCACATGGAAACATGTGATAGTGATCACAAGCTCTTCGGATTGATTTTTCCCCCCACTTAGGAGACAAAGAACAGACAAATTCCTTATGAGAGACCTCTTAACCTCTGGTCTTCATACGTTCACAGAACATGTCCTTATGTTCAGAGAATGGCACAGAAACTGCATTTCCATGTAAATATGCATCTAAATGACACTAAAAGGACCTGAGCAACTAATCATTTCTATGCATAACTCCATATCATGTATGTAACCTACATGTGACTTATCAGGTCTTAATCATTTAGTGTGAATGTATTTTGAATAACTATTGAATAGTTTAAGAATTGCTATTCATGTTTAGTATGTGTGTGTTTGAATCTTCATGCTTGAAACGTTTCTTCCAATCAATTATTTGTCAAATGTATCACATTCTTGTTATAGAAATCATGTCCAAATTTATACTCTGCCAGAGCGGGAAAACGCGGACCATGTGACTGATAAGAGAACATTTGATTTATTGAATGGGGAGGAGAAATATACAACACCCCGAGCAAACACAACATCTAATTGGTCAAAACACCATTTGGGGTGTGTTAAACAGCCTGGTTTAAATACTCAGAACACCATCCTTTTTCCTCTTCCTTCTTGCCTTTTCAAGCCTTGTTGTTTTTCTTTTAAATCATGATTCTTTAGCTTTTGAGCATGGTCTGGCTTACACGCCATCTCCTCCAAAACCATGAGGAGAAACGCCACCTGGTCTCGTCAAACTTTACTTCTATTTCTATTTCTTTAGTTTATTTAATTTTCCATTGAGAGTTTCGTGTTTCGAGTTAAGTTTGCCTAATGCCGCATCTCTGAAAGAGTGCCATCTAAAACTTCAACTGCAGACCACAGCTCCGCGTCGCCAGCCAACGCCCAATCACTGGCTTCCCAAGACTGAGCTTCCAGCCAGTCAGAAAAGCGGGGAACCCCTTTCGGCAACCAGACAAGGAAGGGAACCCCACACAAAGGAACGCAAGTACCTCCAGATCCTAGCTGAACTGGTGCATTTAATATAAATTTTAACCTTATCTCGTGTTTTGTGCTCACAAGTTAATGTCTTAAACTGCCGAACTTGTTACTGTGCTAATTAATAGTGTTTTCACTATATTTTGGATATAAATAAAATTCACTGAATCGCTGGCCGTCTCAGTGATCAGCCGTAAAACAGTGATTCTGTCCAAATTCCCTTACATATTATTGGTGGAGTTCCCTTTAAAATCTTAAATGATTCCCTTTGAGCTAAATTATCACTGTTTCCCTTAAACATTTTAAGTTTTAGTGAAGCACTGTGGAGCTTCTAGCCTGATGGTGGAAACGCAGTGTCATTTAGGACTCTGGGCTACAGGTTCAAGGCTATTAACCCCTTCCTGGCCCAATGAAAGCCCTGGCTCACACTGGCCTGACAGTGGAAAAGCTGATACTGACACCATGTTCATTTGTTGGCCAGAAGAGAACTACCCAGTTAACAGGGAACATTCTCATTACTTTAGCTAACATTCTGGCAAAGGTTTCTCAAATTTATGAACAAATATTCTTCCAGTAACATTACCAGAATGTTTGTTCAATGCAGTAACATTTTATAATGTTCTCAAAAGATTAGCACTACAACATTGTTTAAAAATATCCTCATAATGTTGGAAGAAATCGATAAAACACAAATGTGCAAGCGCACTATTCAGAATAATGAATATTAAAATATGAGCAGAGGAAACACACACACATAATAATAATAATAAAAATAATACATTCTATTTTTCATGTGCTTTTCTTCAACCCAAAGCACTACAACAACAAAACATAATAGTTTACAACAATAAACAACACAAAATAAAACAAATTAAATGCACTCAGTTAATAAGCCGCTTTAAAAGATGAGTCTTTAAAGATTTCTTAAAACAGCTAGTCCAAGGTTGGAGAATCTCTAATTCCTGATGGTAGAGCATTCCACAGTCGTGGAGCTGAAACAGAAAAAGCACCGTCCATGGAGTTTAATTTATATATAGGCTGCTGAAGGATATGTGACCCAGAAGAGCGATCACAACGTGTTGAATCACAACGCACTGGGACAGCTAACCAATCACAACACATTTTGTTTTTCGGAAGGCGGACCTTCATCAAAGCCAGAACTAATCGAGCCATTTGTGCCAGTCTGGGGAGAAAGGTATTTTAATAATGTAAATTATGTGAAAAATAATGCGTTTTTCGAACCATCAAGCATGAGAGCATGTTCTAGTACACCCCCAAAACAAAATCAAGACTTTGTAAAAGAGCATAATAGGACCCCTTTAACACAAAATAACACATTGATAATTTCAACTCAGGAAGGAGATTGTCAATTTTGGGGCAAGAAACCCAAGATTAATGATTGAAGAGACAGCATCATGACCATCACATGAGGGAAATCATTAGTAGAGACTTTGTTGGGTGGTTTCCCCCCACCCAGGACAAGAACCAGACTGAAATTCCTTATGAGACCTTTTAACCTTTTTGTTCCTTACAAAGCACAGCTCACATCACAGAGTGGCAGAGAGACTGCCTTTACATGTATATATGGACCAAAAGGATGCTAAAAGGACTTATGAGCAACTTTCACTTCTATGCATAACTCTATATCATGTATGTAATATGTAACCCACATATTTGACTATCATGTTCTAATCACTTATTGTGTATATATTTTTAATAACTATTGAATAGTGTATAGGATTATATTCATGTTGGGTATGTATGAGTTTGAAAATTCATGATTTAAACGTTTCTATCAATCAATACTTTGTAAAATATATTATATTCTGGTTATAGAAATCATGTTCAAATTATACTCTGCAAGAGCAGAAAAGTTCGGATCATGTGACTGATAAGATAACATGTTGATTTATGTATTGGGAGGAGAAACATAGCAACACCCTGAGCAAAGACAATTTTTAATTAGTCAAGACACCATTTGGGATGTGTCCAACAGCCCGGTTTAAATACTCAGGACACCATCAAATTATGCTTTTAGTCATCGCTTTTGCTTTGGCTTTTAGCCATGCTTTTTGCCACCACTGCTTTTTAGCGTTCTTTGAGCGTGCTCTGGCTTACACGCCAGCTGCTCCTCTAAAACCATGAGGAGAAATGCCACCTAGTCTCATCAAACTTTACTCTTTTGTTTCTTTTACTTTCATTTATTTTATTTTCCGTTGAGCGTTTCGTGTTCTGAGTTAAATGTTGCCGCAACGCCGTGTCTCCGAGTTCACCTCGAGTCTGTGACCACTTCAAAACTTTAACCAGCCACAACTCTGCATCTTCAGCCAACACCCAACCATTGGCTTCCCAAGACATCACTATGAACTAGAGGTCTGCATTCCCACGGCTCTCCCGTGGGAACCGTGGGACCCGACCAGATTTTTTGCGCTGCAGGATTAAATTCCCTAATAAAACGCGGTAGCGGTCGGTAACTCTGGTGTAATTTGAACGGGAGCGGGCGGTCTAACAATATCCCATTCCTGACGTCCATTTAGAACAGCATATCTGATCTTTATTCTTACTGACCACTGGTACAGCTTGCGCTCAGGATGCATGCGCTGCATGCACGCTTTAAACTTCACGTGTTTTATTTGCATGGTCTGCATGTGCAATAACGATGCTCAGAGCAGGCTGTACCTGTGGTAAATATACGGCCCTCAGACAGAACAGGCAGGTTGTCGATGAGTGACAGAGCAGAATAAGGATGGGCTGTCCTTGAAGGACGTTCAACTTGGATTTGTTTATATTTTGCTTAGCCTATAATTTTAAATGAAAGATGTCGTATTTATTTTTCTCTGCGACACTTTTCCTACTGTGTTAACAGAAAAATGTCAAACGAATTTAGTATTTTGACAAGACAAATAAAAATAGCTAATAGGCTATTTTTGTACAACCTACATTTTTATTTTTTTTCTCTCTGCGACACTTTTTCCCTATGGTGTTGTCAATGTTAAACGAATTGTATCCTGACAAGACGAATACAAATAAGACAAACAATTTTTGTACAACATTTTTATTTTATTTAATTTTTTCCTTCTGTGTTGCATAAAATATTAAACAAATTTTGTGTCTTAAGATAATTAATATAAATTCAAGTCAAAGTCAATAAATTCAAGACTCTTGACAAGACGAATAAAATAACACAATTTTGTGCAGACTACACTTTTATTTGTCTGCCTATCTCTCTTTCTTTTTTAGTAGCGGAAATTTAAATGAGATTCTGGAAACGAGATCTACATTTAGCGGGAACGGTCAGGTCAGGAAGAAAATGATTCTAAGAGGACAGTGGGTGAACAAAGAGTGAATATATCGCGAGAGTGGGTGGGTGCAGAATAGAACCTTGCGGGAGCAGGACTAAAAACACAGTCCCGCGCAGACCTCTACTATGAACGACCACTGAATTTCCAGCCAATCAGCAACCTTGGGAAACCCCCTTTCGGCTACAACAAAGGGGAACCCCTTACACAGGCAAGGCAAGTACCTCCAGATTCTAGCTGCTGAACTGGTGCATTTAATCTAAATTTTAACCTCATTGAGGAACTCAATGGGAGGGTTAATTAAGTGATTGATGGTTGTTCAGGTCTATGAAATTGCACTAGGGATGTGCATCTCATGACTTAGGCCGATACGATACGCATATCGATGCATAGACAACGATGCGATACATTAAAGATGCACATGAAGCAGCTACCAATGCGATGCGATGCGATGCGATATGATTCACCCCATTACGATGCAGTGCGATCCGATTTCGATTCGATTCAACACAATGCGATTCTATGCAATATGATGCAATGGAGAAAATATGATCACTTTTAATGCCTCGAGGCCTGTTTCATAAAACAAGTTAACCAAATAAGCCAGGCTTATTTCAGTTAGTCTGACTCATTGTCAAATGATTTGGTTCCATAAAACAAATTTAACATAGGCCTAGATCAAGCTTAGTCACAGTGGCAACTTATGCTGGGAAACTAACCTGGTCTAAAGCAGGCTAACTGTCAGGCTAAGCTAAGCTCCTCTACTGACCAATAGGAACACAATGATATTACCACTGTCTCACATACTATTATTTTACTTTTTAATTTTTTTTACAGTTTCTAGCCATGCAGCCTTTCTCTCTGGTTTTATTACAGCGGTACTTTTTATAGTTTGCAGAACAGATAGCAGAACATTAGAACAGTACAATCTAAAATTGCTCTTTAAAGCATTACAATAACTAAATTAAAAGTTAAAATCACTGAATTAAAAATGAAAATAAATAATAAAGAAAATGACGTTTGCAGAACAGATAGCAGAACATTAGAACAGTACAATCTAAAATTGCTCTTTAAAGCATTACAATAACTAAATTAAAAGTTAAAATCACTGAATTAAAAATGAAAATAAATAATAAAGAAAATTACCATTTTAACTGCTATAAGAAACACACATTAACTAATTTTAGCTTAATAATTCGTACTGTAGCCTACTAGCTTACATTTGATTTACATATTACAATAGTCCACTTACAGTTACTGCTATCATAAAAATACACTTTATATGTAGGTATATAAGTCTACAAAAGACACATTTAATGTCCAAAAACAAATGTCTTTAGCTAAATTTATATTTTACTCCGAATTAATGCGCTCAGTCTGTTTAGTGCGCATGCGCACAGCAACGCTCGTTGCCCTCGCATGCCTCGCCCACTCCTGACAGCAAAATGGATATGTTTGCATGACTTTCTAAAATTTACAGATGAAAATATACCTGTGACATGTCAGTTATGCACTGAGGAAAACACAACGTCTCAAATGCATTAAACAGCACAAATATATTCGCTGTTTGTCATGGTGGATCGATTTGATCCATGATCGACATTAAGGTCTGCTTAAGAATAAGAGTGCACAAATTAGTGAGATTGTGTGAATTTAATTTGTCATTAATGGAACCACTTTAGCCCCGATTGATTTGTTAGATTATTTCAAGTCAGGTTTTGGACTTTAATCCCAGTTTTTCCTCTGTCTCCGTGGTGTTGTGATGCGTCATAGTCATGTAGCAGCAGCAGTGATGAGAGAACGCGCTTGTGAAACAGTTTATAGAGGAGAAATCAATCTACATATAAAATATTGGTCACAGATTATTGGTCACGTTCTAAATAATAAAAGTATAACGCATCCACTAGTAATTGTATATAAATAAATCGGGTTTTACTAATGGAAATACACTGAACAAAATTATAATCACACTTTTAAACACTTTTGTTTTTGCCCCCATTTTTCATGAGCTGAACTCAAAGATCTAATACTTTTTCAATGTACACAAAAGGCCTATTTCTCTCAAATATTGTTCACAAATCTGTCTAAATCTGTGTTAGTGAGCACTTCTCCTTTGCCGAGATAATCCATCCACCTCACAGGTGTGGCATATCAAGATGCTGATTCGGCAGCATGATTGTTGCACAGGTGTGCCTTAGGCGTGCCATTTTTCCCCAATGCTGCAGCAGTACCCGCTCCCGCAGGAGCTCTTCCATATTTCCCCACTGCCGCAGCAGTTCCCGCTTCCGCAGGAGCTTTTCCATATATCCCCACTGCCGCAGCAGTGCCCGCTCCCGCAGGAGCTTTTCCATACTTCCCCACTGCCGCAGCAGTTCCCGCTCTGGCAGGAGCTTTTCCATACTTCCCCACTGCCGCAGCAGTACCCGCTCCCGCAGGAGCTCTTCCATATTTCCCCACTGCCGCAGCAGTTCCCGCTCCTGCAGGAGCTCTTCCATATTTCCCCACTGCTGCAACAGTACCTGCTCCCACAGGAGCTCTTCCATGTTTCCCCTCTGCCGCAGTAGCTTTTTCACACTTCCCACTGCCACAGCAGTAGTTTTTTCATACTTCCCCACTGCCGCAGCAGTTCCCGCTCCGGCAGGAGCTTTTCCATACTTCCCCACTGCCGCAGCAGTGCCCGCTCCCGCAGGAGCTCTTCCATTTTTCCCCACTGCCGCAGCAGTTCCCGCTCCTGCAGGAGCTCTTCCATATTTCCCCACTGCTGCAGCAGTACCTGCTCCCACAGGAGCTCTTCCATGTTTCCCCTCTGCCGCAGTAGCTTTTTCACACTTCCCACTGCCACAGCAGTAGTTTTTTCATACTTCCCCACTGCCGCAGCAGTTCCCACTCCCGCAGGAGTTTTTTTATACTTCCCCACTGCCGCAGCAGTTCCCGCTCCAGGCAGGAGCTTTTCCATATTTCCCCACTGCCGCAGCAGTGCCCGCTCCCGCAGGAGCTTTTCCATACTTCCCCAATGCCGCAGCAGTTCCCGCTTCCGCAGGAGCTTTACCTAAATTTCCACACTGCCGCAGCAGTGCTCGCTCCCGCAGAAGCCATACATAAATTCCCACACTACCGCTGCAGTTCCCGCTCCCGCAGGAGCTTTTCCATATTTCCCCACTGCCACAGCAGTGCCCGCTCCCGCAGGAGCTCTTCCATTTTTCCCCTCCGCCGCAGCAGTTCCCGCTCCCGCTGGAGCATTATCTGTATTTTACACTGCCGCAGCAGCGCTTGCTTCCGCAGAAGCCATGTTTCTTTTCAGATGCCATAGCAGTTGCCACTCCCACAGGAGTTTTTCTTTTTCAGATGCCGCAGCAGCGCCCGCTTCCGCAGAAGCCTCTAGTTCTCTCTTCTAAGCCTCAGCAGTGCCGCTACTACAATTCCAGCACCCCATCAAATTTAAGTCAATTTTGCTATTTTGGGGGGTTATCAGTGCTCCTCTCTGGCTGCTGTCCCGTAGTAATTGCATCTTTGGAGGAGCGCTCTGGTACTACAAGCGATGTCCAGCACCCCACCAATTTTAAGTTTTGCAAATTTTAAGTTTTGCAAACCCGGACAGGGGGAGTCCCCCGGGCTCAAGAGTAATGACCGAGCTCGGGGCCCTCTCCCCGGACAGCACGCCAAATATGCATAACCTTTACTCTGTTCATTATATGTAAGTGTGAACTCGTGAAGTGATGTTTTATTAACAAGTTTCGGGAGGAGCACGCGCAGATAATTGACACGGCCAGTTCATCATCAGTAATTACACCATATATCCAATCAGCACAAGAGAGAACCTCTATAAATAATCAAAGCAGCCTTACCTCCATTATCTCTCGTCTTTCAGCATCCCTCCACCACCCCGACTCCTCACCTTCAGCCCGTTCCTACCCCAGCATGGGGAGGAACACTCGGGGGGGGAGCGCTTCGGGTCCGGGCTTAGACCCGAGCTCAGACCCCTCTCCCCGGACAGGGGGAGTACCCTGGGCTCGAGAATAATGACCGAGCTCAGAGCCCTCTCCCCGGACAGCACGCCAAATACGCATAACCTTTACTCTGTTCATTATATGTAAGTGTGAACTCGTGAATACGTCTATAAAGTCTCTTAAATGCAAGTATTGTACATACTATTAAAGTTTACTTCATTTCAACATTCTGCATTTGTCGTGCCCATTCGTTCAAGATTAAACCTCACATATTACACACATTTTAATAACCTTATTTCCTAAAAAGGGTAATAAACACTGATTAAAGTTGCACCGATTACATGAAACACATCAAGCATATATACAGTGGGTACGGAAAGTATTCAGACCCCAAATGATTATCTGTTGAAATTGTCTGTTGTAAGTTTTGTGTCCCTTCGTCTGACCGGAGAGAGAGAAAAGGGTGCATCCTTTTTTTGGAATGCAGGGAGAAAAGGGGAGGTGTCCTGAGGTCATGCACATGTCACGAATGTATGTCTTCCATTCTTCTCGCTCGGACATGGAGCTCTAAAATTGTCTCTTTTGTTGACGGGATTATCAATTTATGTGTAAAACGGTCATGGGGTCCGGGCGAGTCTGTCGCTGGAACATTTCCAGATACCATGTTCTTTGTTCTGTTGTTTATTAGCTGGTTTATTTATGCTGAAGCCGGTCAACGTTACACTGCACATCTGGTCCCTGAAAGCCCGTAAAACAAAGATAGTTTGTATCCTAGTTTGAGTTAGGGTTTAAGCAGTTTAGATTCCCCTAAGGGATAAGGACCAGGCCTTAAACAGAATGGACAATTAGGTGCCCTGTTGATCATTGATCTTCTTTACGACCGTAGATAGCTGGGGAGGAGAGTCCTTAGTCCGGTGGAATGTGGAGATTCAATCGTTCATTTATGCGATATTCGCAGAGGCCTTACATATCCCGCTTTAGCTCGGTGATGTTCCCGGTGCGAACATCGGCGGGCACTGGAACAAGAGGCATCGAGAGAGAGAACAGGCACACACAAGATACAAACAACATCTCCATCACTAACTGAATCCTGGTGCAAGGTTTAGGTAATTTGGGACAATTGAGTTAGGAAGATGAGATAGGGGTGCATTGTTTAGGATTGTCTAGAATTGGGTCGTTTCGATTACTCTAACTGTCAGAAGTTCGACGAGGCGGTATCGGCGTAATCGCAATCAGGTTTGTTGAGTTCTCAGGTTCAGGTTCTTGGTCAGTTTTATCACGTCGGAACATACACGGGACGCCGGACGTGCACTTGTTGAAAGACTCTTGGACGGCGTTCACTCGCTTGTGGAGGAGGAAGGCAGGTGTCTAGAGTCACAACATATCCTACAATAGTAGAAACGCAAAGCGCTGTGTCAGTGGCTGACCAAGACCGACTGATTGGCGCGCCAGCGGGCGGAAAGCGAGCGATAGCTTCTAAAGCTGTATCAACAGGAGTCAAATCAATAAGTTGCGTTCCTTCCTCCTTGATCCTTTCTTCCAATTCTGGATCGAGGACGAAGGAATGCTGTTTGAAGAAGGGTGAGATTTCGAGTTCAGCCTTATACTTGTCATCGGTAAGGTGGTACAATGCTAATCGTCAATATGGAGGATCGAACCCTTAGGGACATTTATCCATAAAGTTTGGTTGGGCAGGATAATGCACGTGGCAGTGTCATGTCGATCGTAGATGAGGGTAGCCGTACGCGCTGGGGTGTCGACTAGCCATCGGTTTCCGACGATCTCGGCTTGTGTTCCCTCACTTTGGTTGGCGACGGCTTTTCTCAACGATTTACGACAAAAAAAATTTTTTGGCAAAAGGAGTCAATCCTAGTTTCGGGACCTGGATTTAAAGTTGAGTAAAGGGAGTTCCCTGATGAGGGGACTAAAGGGGAAAGGAAATTTTAGTGAGAGGGGGAAACGAAAAACACAAAGAGAGACACAAAGGGGAAAAAAAAACAAAGAGACACAAGGACACCGAATGAGGTGAGACAGCAAACGAGTGTCACATGTGTGGAGCACCTCCTCTCTACTAGAGGTTGGTCCTAGCAGTGCAGCGGAGGAGAGTGTGTAAGTGTTGTCTATACGCAAGGTGGCTATATGTTTTCCCAGGATGACAGAAGTTATGTCAATGTAGTATAGAGTATGAGATTGTCGGTCTGTGTCAGTTGGTTTGGTCTTCCCCCTTTTTCTGTCGGTTGGAGCCCTGGTGCCTCTTTATCTGGTTTCGATGGACCCATCGCGGCCTGTATACCCAGGAGTTTCCACACTTCCTGCATGACTTCAGCGGTGAAGTGGGTTCCTCGGTCAGAGTTGACCCTTAAAGGCAGTCCGAACCTTGAGAAGATGTGGTTCATCAAAAGGCAGGCTGTCGTTTCTGCTGTATCGTTGGGAGCTGGGAGACACTCTACCACGTCTTGCTGCATGCCAGGCCAGTATGCTACTTACTTGAGCGCTTCATAGGTGGCCTTGGTGCCATGGTGTCCAGCGCATGGTGAATCGTGAGCGTGTGTCATTATTATCCCCCTTTGGCCCTGAGGGACTATGAGCTTTGGCGCAGTGAGGGGATCAGGGACATATGTGAGGACGCCGTCGTTGAGATGCAGCATGTGCTTGATAGATGCCGTCTAGAATCCATTCTGTTTCCATCCAGCTAGATGGCATGTGAAGCTTAGACGGGCGTAGTTTGAGTCGGTGCAGATGAGGAGTTGTTTGATGTTGTGGGATGCAGCAAATTGTAGGGTGATGAGGATGGCCGCAATTTCTGCATATTGCGATGAGTGAGGGCCTAATTTGAATTGTTGCGGCGGGCAAGGGTCTTTGTTGAGCCAGACCACTCCCGCTCCAGCTTTCAAGTTGCCCTGTTGATTGTAGGAGCAGCCATTGAAATATGCTGTGGGCATCCCTTCACACACATTCTCCTCGAAGTACCTGTGGTTTGTCAGTTGTGGTGGTAACGGTTCTTTGGGTTCTGCTGCTGTGTGCAGCGTGTCCATTGAACAGTTCTGGTAGGCTGCTAGCCCGTTTCCTAGATATGATCTGTGGTTTTGGGCATATCTTGCCTCGACGTCCCGTCCTTGGAGCGTCATTAGCCAAGTAGCTATGCGTGCGTTGGTTACCACGCCATCCCAGATTCCTTGGCTGTTGAGGAAGCTTACTGGCTGGTGAAGCTTTTTCGCAGTCTGAGTATTTGCATTCTGGGGGAAGCAGTGTTTTGCTGGCATAAGCGACCACTCGCTTGTCTTTGTCCTGTAGCTGGTACAGGCCTGCACTGAGGCACTGATTGGAGAATCCAATGTCCAGATAGAACTCTTTTCCTGGGTCTGGGTAGGCCAGGCATTGTGCAGCACACAGACATTGTTTGAGCACGCTCATAGCTGTGTCCTGGGCTTCCGACCAGACGAAGGGTTCGTCTTTTCTCAGGAGGGAGATTAGTTGTTGTGCGATGTCAGCGTAGTTTTCGTCGTGAGTAATTGCACAATCCCAGAAATCTTCGTAGCTCAGAAATGTTGGTGGGTGTCTTTATGTTTTGGATTGCTTGTGTGCTACGATAAGCAGGCCAACATAGTTCACTTTGGTTTTGCACCATTGTCCTTTGTGGAGGGCGATCTTTGCTCCTGCTGTTGTCAGCTGGTTCAGGATGTGATCGATTTCTTTGAGGTGGTCTGCCACATTTGAGCTATTCAGAAGAACATCATCCACGTAAACGAGGTTGCCCCTTGTTCTGGCGTCAGCAGAAGGAAGCATGAAGTGCTCTAAAATTTCCTGGTAGATGGCTGCGTTGACTGTGGACTTCAGAAAACACAGTGGACCAACACCAGCAGATGACATGGCAGCCCAAATCATCACTGACTGTGGAAACTTCACACTGGACTTCAAGCAACATGGTTTCTGTGCCTCTCCACTCTTCCTCCAGACTCTGGGACCTTGATTTCCAAATGAAATGCAAAATTTACTTTCATCTGAAAAGAGGACTTTGGACCACTGAGCAACAGTCCAGTTCTTTTTCTCCTCAGCCCAGGTAAGACGCTTCTGACGTAATCTCTGGTTCAGGAGTGGCTTGACACAGGGAATGTGACATTTGTAGCCCATGTCTAGGATTCGTCTGTGCGTAGTGGCTCTTGATGAGCTGATGCCAGCCTCAGTCCCCTCCTTGTGAAGCTCCCTCAAATTCTTGATGGTGCACCTTTTCCTACCACACTTTTTCCTTCTACTCAACTTTCTATGAATATGCTTGGATACAGCACTCTGTGAACAACCAGCTTCTTTAGCAATGAACTTTTGTGTCAATGACTGTCTTCTGGACATCTGTCAAGTCAGCAGTCTTCCTCATGATTGTGTAGCCTACTGACCCAGACTGAGAGACCATTTAAAGGCTCAGGAAACTTTTGTAGGTGTTTTGAGGTAATTAGCTGATCAGGGTGTGCCACCATGACTTTCCAATATTGAACTTTTTCACAATATTCTAATTTTCTGAGACACTGAATTTTGGGTTTTTAATTATCTGTAAGCCATAATCATCAAAATTTCAAGAAATAAAGGCTTGAAATATTTCACTCTATGTGCAATGAATCTATATGATATATGGGTTTCACTTTCTGAAATGAGTGAAAAAAATATTGGTCTTTTTCATGATATTCTAATTTTTTGAGATGTACCTGTAAGTAGTACCTGTCAAGATAACTCGTAGTACCCGAGTGAGCGGTGTGTTATTCAATTTGGTGGTTGTTATCTGGGAATAACATACCACTGGATGGTGCAATTGACCAATCAGAATCAAGTATTCCACAGAGCCGTGTAATAAACAAATGTAAAGGGGATATTCTAAAACTAGTGGAATCAAATGATGGTAGGTGGATTACAACGGTTATTAAGCAAGACAACACTTTTTTACTTTATTTTATGCAACATATATGTGTTTAACTCTCATTCCTCTAATAAGATTATTTTTCCTCAAATCTCTGCTAAAGTCAAAGAACTACTTACTGAATATATAGGTTCTTCTGTTATTTTAGGTGGTGACTTTAATGAGTGCATGGATGATGCTTTAGATAGATATCCCCCCAGGCTTAGCAATTTTGCACTAAGAAATTACTTAATTCTCTCTCTGTGTTCTGATCTTTCTTTGACTGATGTATGGCGATATTATAACCCAGATTCCCATGATTATACTTGGTCCAATAAAAATGTATCTCTTCGTTCTAGAATAGATTTGTTTTTTTTAATCTCCTCTTCAATTCTTCATTTACTAAAGGCATTTATCATGCCTTTGCTCCCCTTTCAGACCATAAGCAAATGTTATTAAAACTTTAAATTGCGGGGCTACTGGAAATGTAATAATACTTAAATTCAATGATAGTATTATAAACCTTGCAAAATAATGATTTACTGATGTACACAATGGTTACAAAGAAAAATGGGAATATTTCAAATACAAAATTAGACTAATTGCTATTACAAGATGTAAAGAATTGAAAGCCAATAGACATCAGTTTGCAAATTATTGAACTTTATGTAGAATTAGCCAAGGGGGCGTTTATAAGATCGAGAGCCAAGTGGCTAGAAGAAGGTGAGAAAAATTCTAGCTATTTCTTTGCGCTTGAAAAAAGAAATGGAAAGAAAAAAGCTCTTACTTCCCTTAATATTGATGGAGTAATTTGTAAAGATCCTATTCAGATTTATAAATGTGTTACAAAATTTTATAGTAACCTTTACTCTTCTAATTGTGATAAATGTATTGATAAAATACTGTGCTTTATCCCTGATATTAGTAATCATGATAAATCTCATTATGAATTGGATATTAATTGTGATGAATTGTGGAAAGCACTTCATTCAATGAAATAAAAGAGAAATCTCTGGGCATCGATGGCCTTACCATAGATTTTTACACTCATTTTTGGGATATTATTAAATGCCCTTTACTCAATATGTACAAAGACTGCATCACTCAGAGAGAGATGACACTAACTATGAAACGAGGGATTATTTCCCTCATCCCTAAACCCAACAAAGACACTATTTCTATTGACAATTGGCGCCCTATTACGCTTCTTACTGTAGATTATAAAATTCTGACTTCGGTTTATGCCAATAGATTAAAAATGAATCTGAATTCTATTATATTTGGAACACAGTCTGGTTTTTTAAAAGGCCGTCATATATCCAACAATATAAGATTGGTCCTGGATTTGTTGGATTATGCAGATTCCATGCACTCTCAAGGTCTTATTCTTTTTCATGATTTTTACAAAGCCTTTGAGACGATTGAACACCATTTTCTTTTAAAATAGCTTAAATTGTTTGGTTTTGGGGATTATTTTATTTCCACTATTTCGATGTTTTATAAAGGAATCAACAGTTCTGTTGTTATTAATTTGGACACTTCTCATAGATTTGATGTACAGCGTGGTGTTAGGCAGGGCTGCCCTTTTTCTCCTTTTTTATTTTAATTAGTTACTGAGTTGCTATCTGTGAGCATTGTTCACAATCAATAATTGAAAGGAATTTCTGTTTTCGGGAGGGAAATTAAAATTTCACAGTTGGCAGACAACACCACGTTGTTCTTAAAAGATGAAAAAAATATAGGCTTTAGATTTAATTAACCAGTTTTCTAGTGCTTCTGGTTTAAAATTAAACATCTCAAAATGTGAAATTATGCCTGTCCATGATTTGAATTATGATTCAGTAGAAAACATTCATGTTAAGCCCATGGTGAAATACCTAAGTATTTATATTACTAAAAATCTTCTGGCAAGACAACACTTAAACTTTTCAGCTAGGATAATTAAATCTAAAAATATTCTTAATATCTGGTTACAGGGGGACCTGTCGTTATATGGCAGAGTCCTCCTATCAAAGGCAGAAGGTCTTTCTCATTTTGTATATCCATCTTTATCCTTATTTGTTGAGAACAAAATTGCCAAAGAAGTCAATAATATATATATTTTTTAATTTTGTTTGGAAAAATAAATCTCATAAATTAAAAAAAGAGGTGCTCTATAATTGCTTAGATAATTTAGAAGTTTCATCTGGTCTTGATAAAATATATAGTTGAGTATTATCAGCATAACAATGGAAACTAATCTTGTATTTTCTAATATATTACCAAGGAGCAAAATATATATTGAAAATAGCAGAAGGCCTAAGGACAGATCGTTGTGGCACTCAATACTTTACTGGCGATAAATGATATACGCTATCTTAGAGTGATCTCTGGTGAATAACTGCGGCTGCATTTCAAAAACATAGTGAGCATTGTAATAGAAAACCACTGCACTCCTCCGCTTCAACTGAGTAAACAGTAGGCCGGGCCATGGGACTGGCAGAGGCAGATGACGGATTAACAGTGACCGGTGGTTGGAGTGCGTGAAGGAGGGCTTGAAACAAAGTTCCGTGAGGGGATCAGTAGCGGGGTGAGTAGGATTGGTGGCGCCTGCTTCGCGCTGCATAGTTGGTCTGGTGGAGGAACCCGCGCTGCGACTCCCGCCCACCGTCAGCTGCCAAGCCATCGTCCTGACAGCCTGGAGAGGAGGGAAGAGTGCGAGAGCGGCCCTGCCCACAAGCACCGCAAGCTGTCCCAGAATTGTTCAAGCTTGTGTTTGACAAACATGTGTTCAATAAAAATGCATACATTCACAAAATAAGAGCTTTTCCCTCCTCACTCAGTCGATGCAGTGCT